GGCCCTCCCCTGTCTCCCTCCCCTTCCCCTTGTCCCTCGTCGCTCCCTCGCCCCCCCCTTCTCTCCACCTCTATCCCCTCCCACCCGCTCGTCTCCAGGCGGGAGCTCCCTCGCCCTGGGAGCGGGCCCAGGGGCCCCACCTCACCCGGGCACTCCCGAACCGCACGGGGTGGCTTCCTGGCTTCCTGCTGGCATCTTCCGCCCTCCCCCCCCCACCGTCCGCCGGTCCCCCGCTCCTCCCCCCCCCCTCCGCGCGCGCCGCCCCCGTCCCGCGCTCACCCGCGCCTTCCCCTCCCCCGCCTTCGCGCCTCCCCCCCCCTTCTCCCTCCCTCCCCACCCCCGCCCCGCCCCGCCGACATTCGGAGGGGTGGTGCCCTCGCCCCTTCCCTTCGCGTTCCCGCCTCCCTTCCACCCGTCTGCCGTCCACCTCGCCTCCCGCGCAAACCACACATCGAGGGGAAGGGTCGTGGATCGAGGCACCAGGAGAGGAGGGAGGATCGGGGAGAAGGACAAGGATCAAGGATCGAGGAGGAGTATCGAGGGCGGGATGAGGATCAAGCAGGAGGAGGAGGAGGAGGAGGAGGAGGAAGAGGAGGAGGAGGAGGAGGAGGAGGCGGGTTCAAGGATCAAGGATCGAGGAGGAGGATCGAGGATCAACAAGGGCCACCCTCCCGCGCCCACCGCCCTCCCCGCCGCACACCTCCCCATCCTTGCGCGCCATCCGCCGCCCGCTCCCTCGCCCGCTCCCTCCCCTCCCCAACCCTCCGCACGCCGCGCGCCGCGCGCCGCCGAGACGGGAGAGCAGGGCGCGCAGACGCCAAGGAGGAAGAGATTGAGGAGGACGAGCGAGGACGAGGACGAGGACGAGGAGGAGGACGAGGACGAGGAGGAGGAGGAGGAGGAGGAGGAGGAAGAGGAGGAGGAGGACGAGGACGAGGACGAGGACGAGCAGGAGGAGGAGGAGCGAGGAGGAGGAGGAGGAGGAGGAGGACGAGCGAGGACGAGGACGAGGACGCGGAGGAGGAAGAGAGGGGGGCGGACAGGCCGAGTGCAGACGCGTCGTGCCCAACGTCCGGCCCCTCCCTCCCACCACTCCCCGTTGCCCATGGCCGACCCGGAGGTCTAAAAAACAACAACATCGTGTTATGCGTAATGGGGAAGGGGGTGCCAGAACGTACATAGGTCACAGCACCGCGGCAGGGGGAAAATCGGGCGGGCAGGCGGGCCGAGCGCCCGCCGCCCCTGGTGGGAGGAGGAGGAGGAGGAGGAGGAGGAGGAGGAGGAGGATCGAGGAGGAGGAGCAGGAGGAGGAGGAGGAGGAGGTGGCGGGTGAGCAGGAAGATAAGCAGGAGGAAAAGGAGGAGGACGAGGAAGGAGGAGGACGAGGCCGCACAGCAGCAGCAGCAGCAGCAGCAGCAGCAGCAGCAGCAGCAGCAGGAACTGGAGTCGAAGGAGCGGGAGAAGCAGGAGGACCAGGGGAAGGCGGAGGAGCTGAGCAGGAGGAAGAGAGGGAGGATGAGGAAGGAGGAGGACGAGGACGATCAGCAGCAGCGGGAACTGGAGTGGAAGAAGCTGGAGGAGCAGGAGGACCAGGGGAAGGCGGACCAGGGGAAAAGAGGGGGGCGATAACGATGAGGAGGGACTCGTGTCCAGAGAAGTGGCCCACGCTGGAGCGGTAGCGCCATTCTGAACGACGGGAGCACAGCGCCGATCCTAGAATGAGGCCCACGCTGCAGCGACAACACCATTGTTGAAACATCGAAAGCGGTCAGATGGTAGAAATACATGGAGGAACCATCTCGGTCCAATCCTGTGTCAAAGAAAGATCTGGGCGCGGAGAGGGCCGAGCTTCTTCCAGGCAGAATGAAGGGAGGAGGGTAATATTAATGTCGTGATACTGTGAAGGATGAAACAGAGCAGTTTGTGATATTGTGAAGGATTAAACAGAGCAGGAGTAGAAGCAGGATGAGAGGGATGGGAGCAGGGAGGAGGAGATGGGGAGCGGGAGGAGGGGAGGAGGGCTCGGAAGGGAGAGCGAAATGAGCAGCAGCGGCACGGGAGGGGTGTGAGGAAGGGATGCAGGGGGACGGCTGCATTACCTGGGGAGAGGCGAGAACAGAGGGAGGGGGAGCGAGGAGGGAGGATGCCGAGAAGGACGAGCGAGAGCTGGGGATGAGGGAGCGAGAAGCGGAAATAGGGAAGCAGGGGATCCCCACCTGAGGGGCCTGGCGATGCCAGGGCCCTGGCGATGGCCCTAGCGATGCCAGGGCCCTGGCGATGCCAGGGAGGAGGGGGAGGACGGGGATTAGGAGGAGGAGGAGGAGGAGGAGGAGGAGGAGGAGGAGGAGGGGGGTGCTGAGGGCCCTGGCGATGCCAGGGGCCGCCGCCTTCTCCTCGTGGCCCTCGAGCGCGCGCCTGCAGAGAGGCTCGGCCTCCTCCAGGGAGCCGAGTTCGCACAGGACCGCGACCAGGTTGCTCATGGAGACCTGATGTGGCGAGGGAGGAGGGAGGAGAAGGGGGGGGGCGAGAAGGAGGAGGAGGAGGATTCTAGGATCCTAGGTTGAGGAGGAGGAGGAGGAGGAGGAGGAAAGGGATGAGGAGGAGGAGGAGAGGAGAAGAAAGGGAGAAGGATGAGGAGGATGAGGAGGGGGTCGAGGATGAGACGAAGGATGAGGGAACTGGGAGGGAATAGGGAGGGGGAGGAGAAGGAGGAAGAGAATGAGGAGGAGGAGGAGAAGGGCGGAGGAGCAGGAGAAGGAGGAGGAACAGAAGGAGGAGGAGGGGGGGGAGGAGGAACAGAAGGAGGAGGAGGGAAGCAGCAAGACAGCGCGACCAGGTTGCTCATGGAGACCTGATGTGGCGAGGGAGGAGGGAGGAGAAAGGGGGGGGGGCGAGAAGGAGGAGGAGGAGGAAAGGAATGAGGAGGAGGAGTAGGAGGAGGAGGAGGAGGAGGAGGGGGTCGAGGATGAGACGAAGGTTGTCCTGGAACTGGGCGGGAATAGGGAGGGGAGGAGGAGAAGGAGGAGGAGAATGAGGAGGAGGAGGAGAGGAGGAGAAGGGCGGAGGAGCAGGAGAAGGAAGAGGAACAGAAGGAGGAGGAGGGGGAGGAAGAACAGAAGGAGAGAGGGAAGCAGCAGGACCGCGACCAGGTTGCTCATGGAGAATCTGATGTGGCGAGGAAGGATGAGAAAGGAGGGAGAGGAGGAGAGGCGGAGAGGAGAGGAGGAGGAGAGAGAAGGAGAGGAGGAGGAGGAGGAGGAGAAGGGAGGAGGAGGAGCAGAAGGAGGAGAAGGAGGAGGAACAGAAGGAGGAGGGAAGCAGCAGGACAAGGAGGGTGGGAGAGAAGGGGGATTGGATGAAGGGGTACGATGAGGCCCTCCTTCTTGCCACTCAGACTACTAGGAAACACGTCAAATTTCCGACGATCTCGCCGCCTAGGGCCCAGCAATCCCAGCTGGGACATCGTGCCTAAGGCCGTTAATCCACTCTCCTGCCCCCCCCCCCCTCCCGCGTCATCATATCATACTTCTCCTCCTGTAAGGGAGAGGGAGGGGGAGAGGGACAGACGGATAGAGAGAGAGAGAGGGAGAGAGAGAGAGAGAGAGAAAGAGAGAGAGAGAGAGCAAGACAGATAAACAAAACACATAGCGAGCGAGAGAGAGAGAGAGAGACAGAAGAGAGAGAAAGAGAGAGAGAGAGGCAACAACAAAACCATAGCACAAACAAGAAAGGGGAAACAACACGAGGGATTTGGCTATGGAAATAGGGTGTGGGGAGAGGGCTGTTTGCACAGGGCCCACATCGCCATTTTCGCACTGCACTCGTATGCACACCATTTACAGTCTCATACTCTCAGCTCACACAGGGCTCTAGCAGCATCCACCGCTGCACACTACCAAGCCTCATCATTCAAACATCCATCTGGCACTGACACGACTGGTTATACCAAATGTTACCCGGTCATGGCTGCTGTTCAGATGCCGTGCAGTGCAATTCGATGCTAAATTTGAGACGTGCCATTTGCAGAGGGTAAGGTTCAACACGTGTCGCGGAATGCCTGTTTGTATCAAGACCCCGCTGGTCCTCCGGCCACTATCAAGTGTTAGGCGCACCTGCGGAATATGATCCTCAGGCCATGGGCCTCAGGATCAGCATGGCACCTGAATTGACGAAGGTGAAAAGTCGGTCTTTGCAGATTGATTCCGAACGTCGAGGCACAGGCGAGGCGCTACGTGTGCGGCTTCCCACTCTAATAGCTTCACGTGGCAGAAGAGAGGGTCGCTGACGGCAACGGCAGTTCTGACGCCATGAAAAGCGTTTAAATCAAAGATAGCCACCTGGCCGCTTCGTCGATTTCACAATCGACACTGCAACACCATAATCACCCTACGCGCGATGTCGGGCTGGATCTTTATCACCAATCACAGCACCTGCAGTATCACTGAGCGTCTGTGAACGACGGAGCAGACCAGCTGCCCATAGGCACGGCAACGGCTCTATAGCTGTGTATGTTTGCACCTGCGTGTGCTTCTTCATCCCATCAAGCTGTGCCTCGAGCTTGACGTCGACGTGCACCTGGAATGGGCCTGGCATGGCCCAGTCAGGCACGGCCGTGGACGGGCCAAGCGACCCCGAACCAAGGGCGCACGCACGACGCACAACTTCTCCATGTGAGAGGACTGCAAGGGTCTCTTTCCCGAGGGGTGACGGCATGCCTTCGGGCATCGGCGGCCCGAGCCCCTGGTCGAGTGCTCGCCGACGGTCCTCCTGAAGCGTTTCTGGTGCCGCGCCGCGCTTCCACGCTGACGGTGCGCGCCGCAGGAGTTGGGCATCCGAGTAAGCCTTCAAGGTCTCCAAGAGGTCCGCCTGACAGAGCTCCCAAGCATCACGGCCGCCTTCAGCGTCCCACGTCCAGCGATACCACCTGGCGACTAGCTGGGATGCTACACGATGCTAGCCAATAGAAACGAAGCGCCCAACCATGCAAACCATTCGTGACCAACGACAGCGCAGCATCCCAATTACATGCAACAACCGGTAATAATCATATTCAGAAGAGGCGCCGCGATGGTGGTCCTGTGCGAATGAAGCAGCACAGTCAGCTAGATGAGTCCCAGCAGGAACATTGCCATCCAAACCAAGGTAATATGACTCGGCACTGACGTCAGCAGCAGGAACGCGAAAGCCCTCGCGTCTGATAAGCTCGGCCTCGACCCCGACATCTCGCGGACGCGCGCGGCACTAACAGCGTCTGCGGGACGTCGGACCCCACAGCACGAGGAAGAGTGAAGGCACGCACGGCGCTGAAGACAGCGATGGAAGATCATGCCAAACACCCTGGCAGCGCGACGCATCCTGCAGGTCCAGGAACGCATGCGGTTCGATGTCGAAGCTAGGCTCATGTGTTTTTTTTTGCGCCGTGGAGCCGATTCAAATCTCTTGGCAACAGGTCTCTGCTTCTCGTAGGCTGGCCAGTGCCATGGCCCGAATTCGTGCACCGCTGCGCCCTGCGCCTTCGTGGCTGGCTGCACGCACGGGCGGCCCCAGGTACGAGCGGCCTGTGGGTGCGCGGCGTGCTCATCCAGGATGAGTCGAGGAGCATCCACAGATCTCTGGGGAAGTCTGGAGCACGTCGGCCCAGAGGCCACCTCTGGCGAAGGGCGAAGCTAGGCTCATGTGGATCATGGTCAGCAGCGTGCGCAGCACCCCTGGCATCTACGCGGTCGCAACTACGAGGAGGCAGCCACACCGAATGGCGGCGATCGGGGAGAGACAGGAGTGACATGCTCCGTCACCGTGCCTTGTGCACGTTGGGGCGCGCAGGGGGCCACAATCTCTTGTTACATACTCATGGGTCCGCACCCCGGTCTTCCAGGGCGGCGCCTGCTGGCAATCAAGGGTATACCAAGGTGGCCCACGATGATTCGAACACGGCCCAAGAGGGCTCCAAGGCGGCCCAACATTGCCTTAAGACGGCCTAAGGTGTCTGCCTCCAAGGGGGCCCAACAGGACCACACGAGTACATGAAAGAGGGTCCGCAGAAGCAACCATCATGCTGCCCAATCAGAGTTTGCCTCTGTAGGGGTCCTAGCGGATTCATTTGGTTAGGTGATGTGGGGCACCGATTTCGGCGGCACGCCCAGGTGCACAGGTGCCCGGGTGCCCGGAAGCCCTATAGCCCTATAGCCTCATAGCTTTATAGCCCTATAGCCCTATAGCCCGAATAGCCCTAATAGCCCTATAGCCCTATAGCCATATAGCCCTATAGCCCTATAGCCCCAGTGCCTTGCAGCCCTACAGCCCCATAGCCCTATAGCCCCAAAAAAATATGATTGGGCTTTCTCTGGTATCATATTCCCTCTGGGCGTTTGAATGATTTACGCATACTCGCCTGTTCAGGCTTCCGTCCGCTTAAGGCGGCCCAAGGAGCCTCCACGATGAGCCTAAGACGGCCCAAGATGGTCCCAACATGGCCAGAGAGGCCCCACGATGGCCCAAGAAGCATCCAAGGCGGCCCCAAGACGGCCCAAGAGGGCCTCCCGTGAGACCCACGATGGCCTTAGAAGGCCTGTCGACGGTACAAGGCAGCCCAAGGACGGCTCCCAGACACCCACCATACGGCAAAGAGGGCCCCAAGACGACCCAAGAGAGCCCCAGGACGGCGTAAGAGGGCCCTACGACGGCCCAAGATGGCCCCAACCGACCCCCAAGACTGCCTCACAGGAGGCCAAGGCAGCCCCAAGACGGCCCACACGAATTCAATGAAAGCTCCCCAATTAGTGAAGACGAAAGGAATCACATGTGACGGCCTTCCTTTTCTTCCTCCTCCTCGTCCTCGTCATCATCATCACCATCATCCTCATCATCACCGCCGTCACCCACATCTTCATCCTCATCCTCATCCTCATCAGCAGCGTCCTACTCATCAGCGTCATCAGCATCATCAGCATCATCTATCATTACCACCATCCTCATCCTCATCATCATCATCATCATCATCATCATCATCATCATCATCATCAGCAGCAGCAGCATCCTCATCGCCACCATCACCGCCCTCATCATCAAAACCCAAGTCATCATCAACACCATTATCAACGTCAACATCCTCCGCCTCATCATCAGCGTCATCACCATCATCATCAGCACCAGCATCAAAATCAACAACATCAACATCAACATCAACAACATCATCATCATCATCATCATCATCATCATCATCATCATCATCATCATCATCATCATCACAACTATCATCATCATCATCATCATCATCATGATCCTTGTCTTCATCCTCAACCTACTCCTCCTTCTGCTCCTCCTGCTCCTCCTCCTCCTCATCATCATCATGATCATGATCATGATCATCATCATCATCATCATCATCAGCATCAGCATCAGCATCAGCATCAGCATGAGCATCAGCATCAGCATCAGCATCATCATCATCATCATCATCATCATCATCATCATCATCATCATCATCACTACGGCTCCCCCACCCTCGAATCTTCGCCACCCAGAATGCTGGGCTGGCACGGTGGCGGGACTTGCCGCAAACAGGTGGATCCGCCGCCCCCTGTCGATTCATCACAGTGGTGCCTGGCGTGCTAGACCCCCTCGGTTTTGGTTTTGGCTCCTTTTCCGAAAGAATTCCCCCTGGGCCTTCGGCGCGTCCCGCCGGGGTCCCGGGAGGCTCTTCCAGCCTCTTCCAAAGGTGGTTGCCGTGGGTTTTCCTGCCCCAGACGGCTCCAAGATGGCCCAAGATGGCCTCCAAGATGCTTCCAAGACGGCCAAGATGGCCTCCAAGGCGGCTAAGATGGCCCCAAGATGCCTCCAAGACGGCCCAATCCAAGACGGCCCACGAGGCCTCCAAGAGGCCCTCCAGGAAGGCCCGAAGAGGCCAAAATCGTTGATGTTCCTTCGGTTTTTAAGGATTTTGGCATTTCCGCCTTTTCGGCTTTCCGACGGCCCAAGAGGCCCCCAAGGTCGCCCCAAGATCGCCCAAGAGGCCTCCAAGAGGACCCTATGACGGCTCAAGAGGCCCCCAAGACGGCCCCAAGAGGGCCCCAAGAGGCCTCCAAGACGCCCAAGATGGCCTCCAAGACGGCCCCAAAGCGCCCCAAGAGGACCCCAAGTCGGCCCAGAGAGGCCCCCCAAACGGCTTCCCACGGCGTCGGACGGGCCAGGAGCCCACCAAGATGGCCGAACTTGGCTCGAAGCTGGCCCAAGACCGCCCAAGAGGCCTCGAAGAGGGCCTCCAAAGGCCAGAAAAGGCCAAAAACATTGATTTCCCGTAAGGTTTTTGAAGGATTTTGACATTTGCTTCTTTTCGGCCTTCCGAAAGCCAAAATCATTGATTTCCCATGAGTTTTTGAAGGATTGTGGTATTTGCCTTTGGTTCTGCCTTCCGACGGCCCGAGGCCCCCAAGACGGCCCAAGAGGCCTCCAAGACGGTCAAGATGGCCTCCAAGACGGCCCAAGAGCCCTCCAAGACGTCCTCCAAGAAGGCCCGAAAGGGTCAACATGGCCTCCAGACGGCCAAGATGACCTTCAAGATGCCCACGTGTTCCCCGAAGGCTTTCCAAACTGATTCGGGGAACACATGGTCCGACAGCTTGGCAGGTCTGGCCTCAACGTTCGGCCACATAGGCGCTTCCAAAAAGGTAGGGGGCGGCGGTGATTCGCCGTAGGCGTCTTCGATAGTACTCACTGGTGAGCGAGTGCACAGCAACAAGATCGCCAGCAGATAGCGCGCACTAAACAAATGCCGTGAAGCATCAAAGTGCGCCCAGCCAGGTCCAGTGGGACCTTCACCCAGAGTCTATAGAGACGAGACGAACCCACAAATACAAGAGAACATCTCTGGTCCAACACATACACTCCACCGAGAATAGAAAATGGTCGCATAGAAAATAGATGACTGGAAGGCGCACGGAAGCCAATTGTGGGAGATGCAGATTGACGAATTCAACGACTTGCGCAATATCGCAACCGGCACTGAGACCCACCGGGCATAGCCCTACAGACGAATAAAACATACCCACAAGCATCACAAAGGCAGCCGCTGGCAGGGACAGCGAAGAATCCACAGGGATCAAGTTGGCCAGCACTCATCAGCCCTCTCTGCAACTTGCGCCAGGGGACCATTTTCACCAGGACGCTCTGCGCCAGCTGCACATGAAAGCACAATGTGCTCGGCACGCCTAATTCAATCGCCTGCCGTTGAATTGCGGCGGCGACTGCAGCAAGGCCTCCGCACGAGTGAGCAAGAGCCCCTGGAGGGTGACGAGACAGCAGGCAATCCTGATGCAGCAGGTGAACCTGCCATCGCAGACAGGTTTCTATGCCCTTCGCATGGCCGAGCAACGGCGCGGGACCTTCCGCCTAGCGCTTGACGTTGAGCTCCCGAAAACGGTGAAGTCCCAATCGAACTTGTCGAGATATGGCGGGGGAGCCAACACATGCTGCTTGTCGTAGTCCGGAGGGTGATGAAAACCCCAATCGAACAGCACAGATGCAGCACGGATCTCGAGCAGGAGGTAACTGCCCATGGTGTGCGCCCTGCCATCCTCAATGCGATCAGGCAGCCTCCCAACCCCGGCAGAAGAGAGGGGCAGTACGAGGGCAGGTAGATCAGGTCCTGGCGCCTCTCCTTGCTTAGGCTCGATCCGGAGTGGCTAACTACGAAGGCGAAGGAGGAGGAGGAGGAGGCGGAGGAGGAGGAGGAGGAGGAGGAGGAGCATGGAGGAGGAGGAGGAGGAGGAGGAGAAGGAGGACTGTGGCGGAGGGGGAGGAGCCAAGGAGAGGAGGAGAGAGGAGGAGGAGGAGGAGGAGGAGGAGGAGCAATGAGGAGGAGAGGAGGAGGAGGAGGAGGAGGAGCAGGAGGAGGAGGAGCAGGAGGAGGAGCAAGGAGGAGGAGGAGGAGGAGGACGACCAAGGACGGAGGGCAAAGGGGAGGAGGACGACCAAGGACTGTGGCGGAGGGCGAGGAGGACGACCAAGGACGGTGGCACCAGCCAGGCGAGCGGGAAGGGGAGGCACCCGTGCGAGCGCACAAAAGGATCAGGGTAAGCGGGCCCGAGAGCGCTTCGAAACGAATCGCAGCTGAGGCCGTGGCCAGAGCAGGAGTGTAAGGAGAAAGCGCACCGCGGAGCGATGGGGTCTTCTTTTGAGTGCCTACCGCAAGCGGTGAAAGCGCCGCGGCGGACGGCGATCGAGACTATCCAGACTCTGGACATACGTCAGGATCGGCGCTGGCTCGAACCTCGATCCTCGACCGACGACGACGACAACGACGAAGGAAAACACGACAACGAAGAGGATGGCCCTCCAGGGGGAGGCGACGACAAAGAGCGCTCTCCAGGGGGGAGGCTTCTGCTCCCATGGGGGCCAGGGTCGCCGCGTGGCTGACGCCCAGGCTCGCGCTCTTCAGCTTCAGGGCCCGCCTGCACAGCGTCTCCGCCTCCGTCAGCCTGGGGGAGCAGGAGGCATTCTGCTCCTCCCTGGAGGAGCAGAAGCAGGAGGAGAAGAAACAAGGGGACGGGAGTGAGGGGGGAGGAGGACCACAGAGAGGGAGAGGAGGAGGAGGACGAAGAGGAGGAGGCAGTGGAACACGGAGAGTGGGGGGGGGGCCTGAAGGCAGCGTGGGAATCACATGGGACGCACGTGCACAGGCAGAACAACTCCAAACACCAACGCTGCATGACAAGACACATGGCCAGCACGGCACGGGAACTCCTACACGTCGTTCGTTTCTAGTCGTGCCCATTTCTAGTTGTGCTCGCTTCTACTTCGGCCAGGAAGAGGCCCAGGACAGAAGGAACTAGACATGAAAGGATCTCGGCCCCCAAGAAAATCAAAGACCTTTCGAACCATGAGACGTGAGCAGCGCGTACTTCTTCGCGCTCCTCAGACCAAAGCGCAGCACGGCCGCCCCCTGCCGCACCCGCGACGCCGTATCACGGCGCGGCGCGGCGCACGGGCACGGCGCAGCGGCACGGCTCCGCGGCTCTCCCTCGCACCGCCCCCGCAACACCAAGACCGCCGCACGGCACTGCACGCCCCGACGCGCGGGCACGGCACCGGCACAGCTCCCTCGCGCCCCCGAAGAACAACAGGAGCACGACGGGGCGCGGCGCGCGGGCACGGCACCGGCAGCTCTCCCTCGCGCGCCCCCGAAGAGCAACAGGAGCACGACGGGGCGCGGCACGCGGGCGGGGCACGGCACGGCAGGCGCTTCGCACCCTCGAGGCCGAGCAGCGCACGGCGCGCCGGCACGCTTGGCGCGGCAACGTGCACCACACTCTCGACATCAGATGGCACGGCATGGCTGCATCCTCCTCCTCCTCCTCCTCCTCCTCCTCCTCCTCCTCCGCCTCCTCCTCCTCCTCCTCCTCCTCCTCCTCCTCCCCTCCTCCTCCTCCTCCTCCTCCTCCTCCTCCTCCTCCTCCTCCTCCTCCTGGCAACGCACGGCACGACGCGGCACGCCGGGCAAGGCACGACACAGCAGGGCGACTCTTTCGAATTTCCGGGCCCAGGCAGCACGCGGGCTCGGAGCCGCACGGCGCACAAAAAATCCGCCGCACTCTCGGAACCAGCCACGGCACGGCACACTGGGGCACGCGGCAAGGGCACTGCACGGCACTGCCAACTTTTCGCACTCCCGACGCGAAGCACGGCACGCCGCACCGCGGCACAACACGCGCGCGCGCGCGCGGCACGGCACAACAACTTTCCTCTGAGAGCCAGTCGCGGCACGGCACGCCGCCCCGGCACGCCGCACGGCGCGGTACGGCACAGAAGCTGCGCGCACCCCCGCCACCAGGCCAGGCACGGCAGGGGACGGCACTCGGGCACGGCACCCTCTCCGAACTCTCCGAACCGAGCGCGGCACGGCGCGGCACGCCACCTCTTCGCACCCTCGACACCAAAGGACGGCACGGCACGGCCGCTCCTTCGCACTCTTGCAGCCAGGCACGACGCGGCACCGCACGCGGGCAACGGCACGGCAACCTGTGCGCCCTCCCGACAGCCGCACGCGGCAGGGCGCGGCACGGCTCGCGGGCACGGCCGCGGGTGCAACAACTTGCTCCGCCTGCGCAACGAGATCACGTCCTGAAGTGTCATTCAGACCGCTTGCAGCAGTCGCTGCTTCAGACCTGCCCCTCCTCCTCCTCCTCCTCCTCCTCCTCCTCCTCCTCCTCCTCCTCCTCCTCCTCCTCCTCCTCCTCCTCCTCCTGCCCTGCAGCTGTCAGACATGCCACGCCACGGGGAGAAAAGTCCTGCCACGTCGCAGCGCGGCAGGGGCAGTCCGCACGCGCACTCGGGCAGGCCGGGCGACGGCATCGAGAACTGTCCGGCGGCAGGTATGGGAGAAAGGGGGACGAGTTGTCCAGCGGCAAGAGACTGCGAGACAAGGCACGCGAACGGCATTTTCTCAGCAACCCGCCATGCGACATCACATTGCTAAACCATCCCCTGCTTACTCCAACACGGTACGGCACGCAAGCACGGCACGATGCGGCACGCGGGCGGGAACTTCTCCGCATTCCCAAAACTGGTGACGACGACGACGACGACACGGCACGCGGGCGGGAACTTCTCCGCATTCCCAAAGTTAGTGATGATAACGACGACGACGACGACGACGACGACGACGACGACGACGACGACGACGACGACACACCGGCAGGACCTTTTCGCCTTCCAGAACGCATGCGCTAGACGCAACGGCACGCTGGCACGGCACGTCACGGCAAGGCACGCGGGCGGCAACTGCCTCGGGGAGCCAGAACCGCACGTCTTGATGAAATCCCACCAGCCCTCTGGGCGTAGGTGATTTAGCGAAGTCTGGCCGTCTCTCTTTCCACAACGCTGCCTTCCACTGCTCGGGGGAAGGGTTTATCACTGCTCCCTATTGAATGTACACCCCCTTCCCCCAGGCGACAGGCAGCCAGCCAGGAACAATGCTGACCCTCTACTCACACACACACACACACAACCATCCCTGCCAACAAAAACACTACAAAACACATTCGGCCTCCAAATTCGGAGCAAGAGCAACCAACCCGATGCGACTCCTCCCCCACCATCCCTGTCTGTCTTGAATCATGTTCGTGAGGCCAGCGATCACGTTGTATTGTTTGTTGACAGGGACGGCGGGGGATTCGGCATATTGACTGCTGTGCGCAGGGCGACCATCCTTGCCAAAAAACAATACAACATGCATCTCGCGGCTGAATCTGGACCATGCGCGGCCACCCCGCGATCACTCTCAAGTGGTTTTTGCCAGGGACGGCGGGGGTGGTGGCGTATGGCCAGCTGTGCGCAGGCCCACAAGACACAATAATGGGCACTGATTTTCCACATGGATGGGAGGGGGTTGACATGTTTCCCGATGTGTGCTGTCACGTGCGCAGGCGCACCTGACACACTCTGCACGTGCCCGAACGTGGCGCACCTGGCCCGGCTGGAGTATGCGGCACACCTGGCGCACGTGGAGCACGTGGCGCATCTGGCGCACCAGGCGTGCCTGTCACGCTCGGGCCCGAGGGGATGCCTGGCGCGCGTGGCGCGCCTGGCACGTGTGGCGCACCTCGCCCCAGCGTCGCGCACATGGGGACGGCTATGGTTCCCAGTAGCTCCGCATCCAAAGACGACCGCTGAGCATGCTAAGGCTCGGGTGTTACTTATGTGTTGGGAGGGCTGGTGGGAGTGAGCTAGACGGCTTGCTATCTACGAGGGTGTCTTGACCCCTCCCCCTGCCCCCTCCCCTGGGCCTGGACGGGGCGCCCCGCGAGGGGTTAGAGCGTGCAAGATGGCCCGAGATGGCTCCAAGACGGCTTCAGGGAGCGCAAGATGGCCTACAAGATTAACCAAGATAACCGAACAAGGCGCAAGATAGCCTCCGACACGCATCTACGAAGCCTTAAGGCGGCTCCAAAACGGTTTCACGTGCCCTCCGAGCCCTCTAAAGGCCCCCCCAAGAAGCCAAACTGACTCCGCTTCCGATAGGCCTCGGAGGCCTCAAGATGGCCCCAAGACGGCCCAAGGGAGCCCCAAGAGGGGCCCATGAGGGCCCAACGAGAGCCCCAAGTGCGCTCAAGAGCGCTCCAAGAGCGGCCCAAGAGGGATTGAAGACGCAGACGTTGAGCCTCCAGGGGGGGGGACCTGCCAAAAGAGCCCCAAGAGAGCCCACATAGAGCCCCAGCAGGCTTCGCGAACACCCCAAGAGACACCGAAGCTGGCTCCGCAAGGCCTCCGAGAAAACACTTGCAAGGCGGTTGTTACACTGCATGCTTCTACACTTCCCTGATCAAGGCAACTCGCCTGGCGATTTGTTTCTGGATGGGCTGGTGGGGATGCGGGAGGCGTCAAGAATTGAAATCGCTGCGGGCAATCGATACTCAGGGGAGAGCAACGTAAGCATTCGCGCACATACCAAATGCAATTGTGTTCAAAAAGGCGTACGACATTGAAGTGCCACCTTGGCATCATTTGACATCCCATGTTGCGTTGAAGCCAGTAAGCTACATGTGCGGGGGGGCGTTCAAGATCAGCTTGATGAGCATATGCACGCAACTTGAAATGAACACTCGGGGGCCGAACACCAGTAGCGGATAAAGGATGGCATGGCGTATGAAGGCCTGCATACCATACCACAGCAGCGCATAGCATGGCATGGCATTGCACAGCAGCACATCGCGCGGGGCGCCCAGGGCGACACCCACAACCCGACCCTGGGGATCCAGGTGGCCCCACACTCACGCAGCAAGAGGCGGCGCGCCCCAGGCGACAGCCTGTGGACCCCCAGGCGCAGCATCGCGTGGCAATCGGCCCTACTGCACAAGACAAGCGACGACCCCTGAGGCAAAGCCAAGCAGAGCTGAGAATGCTTTCGACCAGCCGCCGCTATTCGCCGATTCCAGCCGCTCAACCTGACGCGCAACGATAAGCTGACGATGACGATGATGTTTGAGACGGTAGTGTATATATACACGGTATATCTATATATATGGCAATCCAAAACATGCGAATACGAAGTGAAACAGGTCAGTGGGGCACCAGAGACACAAACGAGAAGCACGCGATGCAGATGAGCATCCACAGACATCCAACCGACCTGCCAGCTCGTCTGCCGCCCGAGAGCCGGTCGACCGGATGCGCCCAGGCAGTGTGCACAGGCGCCTGCCGTGACTAGGGGAACGAAAAATGACATAAACATAAAAACTCGGAGGTCCGCGCCGATTTCTCGGATCGGCGCTGGACCCCCCTCCCTGGCGCGCGGAGCGCGCCAGGGGCGGCGCCGGAGGCGCCGCGAGGGGGGTCCAGCGCGGATCCGAGAAATCCGCGCGGACCTCCGAGTTTTTATGTTTATGTCATTGTTCGTTCCCCTAGTGACGACAAAGATTCTGTCTCTGGCACCGCACTATCACTCCATCTCGAGCGCAATGGGCTTGCCCGCCGCTCACATGTATTGAAGGGGCCCAAGGACACACAAATAAATACACACACACACAAATGAAAATATCCCCCATGTTTTCCCATACTTTCTGGGTTCCTGTCTTGCCCCCCACTTCCCATATTTTCCCATATTTTCCTGGGGATCGACGATTCATTGTGTCTGTGTTTTTTCCCCTCCTGACATGTGCCTCCACCTCCGCGCCGCCACCCCTGGAGGGCCCCGCAGGCTCGCCGTCCCACCTCTCGCACGGACCCCGCGCCGCGGGCTACAGTCGGGGCGTTGACCTAAGGAACCCTAAATAAGGAACGAGGCCCCTTTCTTCCATGAGTTGAGCTTCGATCTCCGATCGAAAACAGAAGGAAAACCTGAGGCACCCTCTGGGCATCACGACTGTGTCGATGATCGAGGGACTCTTGAAGAGCGTCGGGGCAGAGAGGAAGATCGGCCCAGCACCTCGGGGCCCGCTCGAGAGGGATGCGTCGAAACTCTTGGCAGAGCTCACCAAGGCGTAGGTAGTAGCAGCAGTGGTAGTCAGTTAGCACAGCGTTCTTCGAATTCGTACGAGAGACGTTCCTCCACAAGCCCTCGTGGTGTCAGAAGCGTCGAGTACTTACGGGGTAGTTCGAGGTTGGCTGAGCTTATTAGGAGAGGAATCGTTCCTGAGAATGTTTTGGACCCACGTCCCCCCCCAGTACCCACCGCCTATAGCCCAGGAGTTTCCACCACCCCGACGATTTTGAGGGAGGGGAGGCATCCGAGGCAGAAAGGCACGGGGAAGGGTAAGAAGGGCAGAGGTCGGTAGTAATCCCAGGTCCCCAACGTGGGCCCCCCGTAGGTTGCGTGCCGTGAGGGGGTGCCTGCGGGGGCGGTGCGGCGTCCGTCGTGTGCTACGGGCCGCACTAGATGGTTTGGCGAACGTACTCGCCCCCCAGAGTTCCCCCCTGTAAAGGCTGGCAGGCTGTTGCATAGGGCGGCACGAGGCCACAGAGACGAACTCCCAAAGGCCCGATCCCGATCCCGATCCTCCTCCTCCCCCTCTTCCTCCTCCTCCTCCTCCTCCTCCTCCTCCTCCTCCTCCTCCTCCTCCTCCTCCTCCTCCTCCTCCTCCTCCTCCTCCTCCCCCTCTTCCTCCTCCTCCTCCTCCTCCTGGGCCCCGAGACGCAAAGGCTCTGCGCCGGCGCCGGCGCGCCGAGCGGAGGAGGGCGCGAAGCTGCGGCGCAGGCGGTGTGATGCGCCCCGTGGCTCTCTTGGGGAGGAGGAGGAGAAGGAGGAGATGGAAGGAAGAAGGAGGAGGATGATGATGTGGATGAGGGAGCAGGCAGGAGGAGGAAGGAGGAGGAGGAGGGAGGAGGGAGGGAGTTGCAGGAGAGGACCTCACGGGAAGCGGGTGTGACGTGGACTTGTCAGAACGTGTGGGGCCGGGTCCTCCCCATGGTCTGCATCAGCGCCGCCAGGTTGCTCAGGGATGTGAGGGTGTCCGGGTGCGAGACGCCCAGCACCTCAAGGGCCAGCGGGTTCGAGGAAGGCCAGCGGGGGCGAGCGGGGAAGGAGGGGGGAGGGAAGAGACGTGGTCCTCCAGCGAGCGCCGGCCCTCCGTCGGAGGGAGGAGGTCTGCGAGAAGGGGGTGGCGAGGAGGGAGGAGGTGGAGGAGCGCTTGCTCGTTCAAGGCCAGTATGAATTACTTGCCAGACGTTCCTTCGATTCTGACAGTTGGGCGTTATCCTCATTCCAGTTTCCTAGCGCAAGGGTGCCCTTGTTGAAGGACGGACGCTTGTAGTCTCATGGCTATGGGAACCCCAAAAGCAGCCCGTCCGAGCAGCACCCACTCCTGCTTCAAAAGCTACACGTCGTTCATTACTAACCAAAGAAGTTTCAAATACTTAGAAATGAGCAATACTTAGAAATGAGCCTTCATTCAGTCGACAGGCCCGGGGGGGCACCCGGCACCCGGCACTGTTCGCTCAGTCAGCAGGGTCCTTCCCAACAGCCTGCCTGCGACCTCGTTCCCCTGGAGCTCCCTGCCAGCCGCCAACCCGGTTCCAGGTAGTCCATGGATCACGTTCCGCAGCCCGCACCCCGAATTCGTCTCGGCCTCCTTCGCAAGGGTCTTCCCTTGGGCGACTACCAGACAAATGGCCCGAGCTCTCGTTGTTCCACCGGGATGACGACCCTTGCCAGGGCGCCGATGAGTAGGCAATTCCTCCTCCGTTTCGCCATGAGTTCGTGCGTGCCCTGTCTCTTCCTTTCATTCCAGCTCCTCTGTTCGTCCACTTGCTCGCGCGATCGTCTTCGGGACGATGCGCACTATAATTATTGGAGTTGCTGCCCTTTCCTGGGTTCCACTCAGCCTCGGCCTCGGTTTTCTTCGAACCACGTTCTTGGCGGCATTTGGACCATCCGTTGCCGCTGGCCCCCCAACTGGCATCTCCATCATCGCCGTCTCGCCTGGGCTGTTTCTCGGAGCAGCGGGGTTAGCACCAGCACCCTCAGCTCTGTCTCCCGCGTCCGCTACCGCCGCGACGCTGGCAGCGCCGCCCGTCGCAGCCGGCGCCACTTCGACATCTGTTTCGCCAGAAGGACCACTGCCAGAGGCTGTGCTGCGGTCCTTGCCTGGCCGCAGTCGCCTTCCCCAAGCGCCAGGGAGGGCCATCCGCTGGCGGATTCGCAACCATCTCGCTTAGCGGAGGCGATTGGCATCCCGCATCTTCGCAGTCGCAGCCTCCTAGGGCCTCGACGACAACTCCATGCATGCCCAAGTAGACCCGACAGCAGCCCTTCTTTCCATGGCCGCACTGCCGGGGTCAAGATAAGAGATCACTTACTTCATCGACAAGCATGCCTCTCCACATCTAGCCACGCATGCCCTGGGCATGCCAATCGATGAACGCTCTGGCGGACTCGCGGATCGCCATATCGCTTGGCGACGCCCGCCACCAGCTCTACCAGGCCTCAGGGGGGGCCAGCGCCCAGAGATTTCTACCCTTGCCCGGGACCTGCTCCACGCGGCTGGCAACAGCCCCGCTCATTATTTTCGATATGTGAGCACCCGCAGCGCGCCGCTGCAGAGCAACAGGTGCAATGCACTGTCTTCTGTCTTCAAATCGGGCCGGGCGAAAGGGGGGGATAGCAAAGGGTGGGCTTGAGAATCAGCTCACGTAGCTGATTTTCCCGGCGCCTCCCGGCGCCAGGAGGCACCCATGTATCGAGGAATGGGCCCGGCGGCGGGGCCGAAACCAGCTGCATGCAGCAGATTTCGTACTCCAGACTTCGTAATAAAAGGGAGGGGGTCTGGACCCTCCCAGACGAGCCATTTCAGACCCCCCCTCGTGGGAGAACCCTCCAAAACATCGTCCCCAGACCCCCCCAGGCCCTCCAAGACGGCCTGGAAGAGACCCCCCCCCCGAAACGAGACCCCCCTCCCTTGATCACGAAATCTTGAGTACCCCCCTCCTGGTTCCCTAAGCCCCCCGTTCGTCCGGCCCGCGGCCCCTTGGGCTCTGGAGCGCGGAGGAGGAGGAGGAGGAGGAGGAGGAGGAAGAGGAGTAGGAGGAGGGGAGGAGGAGGAGGAGGAGGAGGAGGAGGAGGAGGAGGAGGAGGAGGAGGGAGGGGGGGAGGAGGGGGAGGAGGAGGAGGATTTAGAGCTGTCCTCGGGACCGTCACCGCGGATCTGCTCGGGGGGGGGGGGGAAGGGGGGCTTGCCGCGGCCCGCCTCGACGAGGGCCCGCGCCGAGCCGGGCCCAGCTCGACGAGGGCTCCGGCCTTCTGTATGTATCGCTCCCCGAGGCCGGGCACGCAGTCGATCTCCCGCATGATGTGGACAGGCTCCGCGGCGTCCCCCGTGCTCCAGATTTCGTAAGAAAGGGAGGGGGGTCTCATTTCGGGGGGGGTCTCTTCCAGGCTGTCTTGGAGGGCCTGGTGGGGTCTGGGGACGATGTTCTGGAGGGTTCTCCCACGGGGGGGGGTCTGAAATGGCTTGTCTGGGAGGGTCCAGACCCCCTCCCTTTTATTACGAGATCTGGAGTAGTCTCCTCGGTGCCAGCGTCAGTGCCCCGATGCCTCGCGATGTCCTCAAGCCCGAGCGCCAGGCCACGCGCGGTCTCAGGCTCGGCGACTCTGCCCTCGGTCCTGTTCGTGGGAGCCGGTCTCATAATTTCGTCGCAAGTCGGCCTGCGCGTGCTCGATTTCTCTCGCGCCTCTCAGCTCCTTTCCAGTGCCACCACGCCCTCCTGTCTCGGCCGCCACGGGCCGCAGTCGAGCGCGCTGGGCGTTCCGGAATCGGGGCCCAGAGGGCCCAGGTTCACGAGGGAACGCGGCTCGGGATGACAGCCTGTCATATCTTCAGGCGGTGGGAAAAACTTCAAAGCCAACTGTAATTGCATCCGCGCAATCATCATCGAATCTGAACAGACAGGTGGCTTGCTACCTTTGTCCACAAGGACCCACGCCAAATAGCAACACGCAACGCCGTCTTCGAGGCCTATTCCCTTCAAGGCCTTGGCATGCCGGGCACCACTGCAAGTGGTCCAGAGCCTCCGGTGATCGCGCTCCTTTTGGTTCATGTCTTTCGACCTTTGGTAACAGTAGTCAGATTGTGTCGTGGCTTCCTTTTGTGTTGGGCCATCTGTTCCAGCCCTCGACTGAGTCTCCGATCCTGTCCCTCCTTCGGGCATGGCCTGAGCGCTCCAGCAGCGGCCGTGGCAGAGGCCAGGATCGCCGCTTCCTTAATCTGCAGTCCAAAAGCCTTGAAGTGACCCCCCCTTGCCATGTGATGGCGATGTAAGTCTTTGCGCAATGCCACTTTGCTGCAATGCACGAACGACATCATGCCTAAGGTCGGTTCGGCCGAAGACGGCTGCAGACAACTCATGTCTCGCCCTTCCAAGGAATCGTCGACATCTGGCTCAGCACAACTAAGCCGCATCGGAGGTTGGGGTTTCTCAAAAATCTGTCTCTCGCAAAGCAGTCCTATGCAGCCAAATTTCTTCGCCGGCCTAAGACGCTCAGCAATCACGCTCCAGTGGTAGAGCTTGAATCAAAGTCAGTACCCCCCGCGGCACGCTATCGCGATGACTTCAACGGCATCACTGAATTCAGGGCGCCAATTGCGATCATTGTTCCGTCCAGTGCCAACTTGGACACGTACTTCGCACGGGTCCTGGCGTCGAACGCAACGAGCACGCCTGCCTTCCGCAGTTCTCTCTCGTCCACATTCAGCCAAGCTCTGCGCTCTCCCTGATTCAACCATGTCGCCACACCTCGACTGGTGGCAAGACTCTCCGGATGAAGCCGTGGCACCCAGGTTATTCGGCACCCTTGGTGTCGCTGGGTTGCTTGGTGGCAACTTTCCCTTTGGTGCCCGTTCCGTGGTGTTGAAGCGGGCATGAGTCACATCACCACGCAGATCAGCACCGATGGTTGAGGGGGCAAGATTCCCAGCCAGAGCCTTCTCGAGCTCCGATTCTCCGAGGAGAGTCTACACCACCCCGCTCATGATCACCCATTCACCTCTCGCACATTGGAAACTCCTTCGCTCTTCGATGCGAGACACGGCATGCCCGATCGAAGCCTTGATGAGCATGGGAGCATGGGGATTCCACCGTTGCGGTTCAGTCAAAGTGCCACTCCTCTCCTTCAACAGGGAAGCCCTCCATCAACCGCTGAGCATCCGAACTCTTCGGGCACGCTAGTATCTGGAAGTCCTGCGGCCTGTACGACGGAGCCGCGGCCGCCAGGGCGAGGACCATCGGACGCGTGATTCCTCCTTACTGGGTTCGCCAACATGTGCGCAGGCACCCACCCAGCAGAACTGATCACTGTTACGGTGTGAGACCTTAGCGCCCACAACAGCAGGTCACGGAAACGACGGATGTCGCCGTCCTCCTCGCCCAGGATCGAGCGGAAGCGATGCAACCTTCGGCGAACGCCGCCCTGCGCCGTGAAGGAAGAGGGAACGTCCGAGGGCAGACTGTCTCCGTATCCTCCCTACGCATTACGATGAGACACCAGGTGCAGGAACTCTGTGTCTCTCTTCGCCTCGGCGCTGTTCAATACCGAATTCTCCGCATTATTGACTGGCTCTGCCAATCCTCGAAGGTCAGCGCCGGACAGCCCCCTCAACGCCTGCGTTCTGGGGGAACACGGGACGCACATAAAACAACTAATACCACGTGTCCTCCTTGGAGGCGCGCCCGACCCGAACATGTAGTATACCAATATTGTAGTATTATATCGTTTCCCGAGCGGTGTGGCCAAAAAGCGCCCGCCACGACGCATATACTAGAAGATTTCACGGTGCGCGCGTCGCCCCTGGGGGGGCGACGCACACATAGTATAAGTACAGTCGGGGCGCTGACCTAAGGAACCCTAGATAAGGAACGAGGCCCCTTTTTCCCAAAAGTGGATCTTCGATTCCCCATGGAAACCCTTCGGGAAACCTGAGGCAAACTGCGAAACAGTCAAGGAACGCCGAGCCCCTCCCCAACGAAAAGGGTTCCTTCTT